CCTTTCGACGCTCAGTGTTCGACTCTCTGCATAACCTCTCCCATCCCGGAATCCGTGCCACACAAGCATTGGTGAAAGCCCGATATGTGTAGTGTGGACATCGCACGTCTAGTTTCGGTTTCGCCACACGTTTAGTTTCGGTTTCGCCTCCGGCGTCTGGCAACTAGAGCCTGCTGAGGTATGCCGCCGGAGGGCGCGGGCGTTTGAGTAAACAGTTTCGAGTTACACTTTCGGGATCGGAGAGACACGCCCGCACCGGGGCCAACGCGCTCATGTATTGCTGTACCTTGTGTAGTCAAGTATAATAAATAGTTTTATGTACCGGACATCTCCACAACAAGATCAACGGACTCGCGCTCTTAGCCTTTGTCATCCTCCTTTAATCTAGGAAGCCTATCAGCGCTTAAGTTGCTACCCTGAGTGAAAACTTTCTGCCACACTCTTTTACGACAGCCGTTTAATTTTGAAAGAAAAACCGGTGACCGCTTGTTTGTGCTAACAGTGCCGCGCTGTGTACACGTGACGGAAAAAAAAAAAAAAAGCAATCGAAACCAAAGCATTTATTTGATTTAACTCCTGTAACCGCCAATGGTCGTTTTCATAGACCATTCCAGTAAGTGCTTTCAGGGCGGCGTCACTTTGTTCGACCGCAGCGCCCCCTCCACACATCCCAGAACTTCAGCATCTTCGGCCTTGATATTCCTCGATTGCTTGCTGTACAGGTTCTGCTTCCTTCTGGAGGCATCGCGGGCTGCTCTCCTGTCCTGCACAAAGTGCCCGCAAGACGTCAAGGAGGCATGGGTAAAGGAACGCATACTTAATTGGTTAGAATATAGCAAGAAAATAAACATGTTTAATGGCGCCGACCTTCCACTTTTTCTTAATAAAAACAACAACAACTAAGAAAGCGTTTGTTTTTGGCCATTAATATTTCCATAAATTTTACGTCTATACTGACGACCGGAAGAGAAGAAAATAATCCTTTATTTCTGGGACGCTCACTTCAATAAGGACAGTCGTGACCTCAGAATCAAGAAAATTGAGCGAAGTTGCCTTTTAACGAGTAATTCGGATTGTTCCGTTAGGGGTGCTTCCGTCGGAGCCCCGCGCAAGTAAGGTCCTCGAACAACAATGCAGGCGCCAGACTTCCTCGCAACGCCGTAAGGAATCCCACCAGACCGGAGCCCCGTTTCGCGTCGACGGGGAGAAGACGGCGAGGCCGATTAGGGTGAAGCCATTCGAATGGAAAACGCTTCGAGGTTCTTTGAGCGTGAACATTTATGCTCGCAAACTTTCTTGTGAAATTTTCGAGACTCGTACGCACCCAGCTGTGGTCGCCCTTTTATTTTTATACATAGCAGGGATGATCCGAAGTGAGATACAGGGAGGTGCTCTCGGCTGACTGGTGTCAGAAACGGTAGAAGCAGATTGTCGCGAAAGAGCGGTCACCTAGACGTGCAGTGATTATTGTGGCATGGCCAGCTTTCTGGGACATTCAGTGGAATGAAAGGTTTACAAGGAAATATCAAAATTTTAATTGATTCGCGTTCTATGATACCCAGTAAATTGCAGTTCTCGGGAACATTACAATCTTTTGTCAAGTAAAGCAGGTAGTGATCATTTATTGAATGTAACCTATATAGGAGCGCAAGTTCGTCTGCTACTTTCGCATTGGTTGTGGTGACGTCAAAGCGCCGAGCTTTGATTGGCTCTGACTGGAAGGATAGTGGGTAGACCTCAAGGCAGCTAGCATTGAGGTCTACCCACTATCCTTCATTCAAAACCAATCAGAGTTCAGCGTTCTGACGTCACTACAACCCCTGCAAAAGAAGCAGACGAACTTGCGCTCCACACAGGATTCAATGAAAAAAAAAAATGTGTGGAGCCCTGGAATAAAAACTCTACGCGTACAAAAGTTTTATTACTGTTTAATGACATTTTATGACTGCTGTTGAGAAATAAGAGACGAGGAAGAGCGCGCGGACGATTGGGGGGGCACGCGGGGTTTGCGCACCCGCAAAGTCAGTGTTCCATAAACGGCCATCCGAACAGGACACGTCTCGGGTCCCTTCCTCCACATAGAATTTGGTGCCGAAACCCCTCGAGAGGACATGGACCGCCTACGCAGGACCCGCGGCGTTGTCCGCTCCGCCGTCACCAGGACAATATCCCAGCTGGACGATCTTATCCAGAACCCGAACACAACAGAGCTTGACTTGCGGCTCCCGCTCGACTATCTCATCCAGAAGCAGACAAGCCTAGATGACCTGGACCGGGATATTCTTACATCGACAACGGACGACGACTTGGAGAACGAAATCGAGGGAGCAGAGGACTACCGCACGGGGATTAGCCACGGCATCACGCGCCTTCGTTACGCCCTGGAAAAACTAAACCAACCCACGATCACCGCCACGCGTGTTGCAAGCACCCCAACCGACACACTGCAGCACAGCGGCAACCCTCCCACAACCGAAACCCTGAGCAGCCTTTCTCCCACCGGAACCGTCCCTACAGCACCCGCTCATGGCAGTCATCGAAGGGTCGCCCTTCCCAAACTCCAGGTACCTACCTTTGCCGGAAACATCAGGGATTGGCAGGGATTTTGGGACCATTTTGATGTCACGATTCACAGAAATCCCGATCTCCCTCCTATCGAGAAATTTAAGTACCTCATGACATACCTCACTCACAACGCAAAGCGGGCTGTCGAAGGCATTCGTCTCTCCGAGCAGAATTATGACCTTGCAGTTCGTACACTTCATGACAGATTTGGAAGACGTGATATCTTGATCGACGAACACATTAACCAGCTACTGAATCTTCCGAAAATAAGCAGTTCAAGAAACGCCACGCAACTACGTCAGCTGTACGACGCCATTCGTTTCCACACAACATCTCTAGAAGGCTTGAATGTTCCTCCCAACAACTACGCGGTGGTTCTTCATCGTGTACTGATGAGAGCTCTTCCCGAAGATCTAGCACTCATGTACCGACAGAAAATAAAGGAAAGTGCGACAACAGACAGCCCCAACGCGCTCGAATGGCGCCCAGACGATCAAGTCAAGCTTATCATGACGTTTCTTCAAATCCAGATCGAGATACGAGAGGAAGGGTGCATGGAACAACCTACTCGGGCATCCGAAGGCACACCACATCAGCCGAACTTACAAACTCAGTCCTTATCGTACAATCCATCTGCACTAGCACTGACCAACGAATCAGTTCACCGCCGAGTTCTTTCGTGTCCGCTCTGTGGCTCCGCCGAACACGACGTTCAGAGCTGCCAGGTTGCACTATCGACCCAGGAAAAACGATCAAGGCTCACACGGGCGCGCTGCTGCTTTAAGTGCGGCAAACGCAACCACATCGCTCGTGCCTGCCGCACAGCAAGGAGCCTAACCTGTACCGCTTGCGGAGGGCACCACCTGACCATCCTATGCGACGTTTCCCGACCCCCTCAAGCTACGCAAGGCATCGGTCAATCTGGAGAAGATTCCACTCCAAACTCTGCGGCAGTTATTAGTGCCCGAACGATTGCGGCAAAGCAAGGACCGTCAGTTCTGCTTCAGACAGGCCAAGTGTGGGCTTCTTCGCTCTATCAAACAGTTCTTGTTCGAATACTGCTGGACAGCGGCAGCCAAAGAACCTTCGTTCGTCGCGATGTCTCAAAACATTTGAACTGCACAGCTCTTGGCAACGAAGAGCTCAACGTATTCACATTTGGTAACGCTCGACGACCTTCACGCTATCACTGCCGTCGAGTTACCATCGAACTATGCGGTCGAACCACCGGCACACGAGTCAACTTGGAAGCATTGGAGGTGCCAGAAATCTGCACTGTCACCAGTCATCCGATCGGCGAAGAGCTGCAAGGTCAACTCCACTCTGAAAACATGCTGAGCGCCGACATAGCGCCAGAAGGTATGCCATGCCCGAATGAAATCGGTGTTCTCATAGGATCTGACGCCTATTGGAAGATTGCCACAGGCAGAATTAAACGCCTCAGCGAGACACTAACGGCAGTTGAAACCGTCTTTGGCTGGATGATACAAGGGACGTATACCTATCATTCTGGCAACCCACGAAGCACAGTCACCACCCTTTCACTGTCATGTGAATTCTCCAACGACGGGAACGAGGATTTTGATCCTTCACAAATGTGGCGTCTAGATGCCATGGGTATCACCGACTCAGCTGACACTCAACCAATTGATCATCCAGCGCTCCAACAATTTGAAAGAAGCATAAAAAGGCATAATAGACGGTACGAAGTGCCTCTCATGATAAGCACCGCCGGTCTAGGACCAGATTGCAACAACCGCAGCATTGCAGAAACCCGACTGTTCTCACAACTTCGGCGGTTTAAGGGAGAACCAGAATTGCTGGAGCAATACGACAAAACTATCCGGGCCTATTTCGATGAAAACCACGCAGAGAGGGTGCAGCCATCAACACAACGAGCAGAGAACACATACTACCTGCCACACCACGCTGTAATACGCCGAGATGCTATTACCACAAAAATCCGCGTAGTATTCGACGCTTCTTCTCACGCTCCCAACAAACCATCGTTGAACAACGTCTTAGAAAAGGGTCCCACGCTGGATGCAAATCTCCTCCAACTTCTCCTCACCTTCCGATGCTCCAAGGTCGTATGCGTGGCCGACATTCGAAAGGCTTACCTGCAGATTCAGGTTCGTGAAGATGACCGCGACGCACTTCGCTTCCTCTGGGTCGACCAACTTCCCAAAGGCACAGATGCTCCAAGGGTAGTTGAATGGCGAATGACAAGAGTACCGTTTGGAGTCGCTTCAAGTCCATTTCTGCTCGCCGCTACTCTTCGCCATCATTTCAAGGCCTTGGAGAGCAGGTACCCCGGTACTGTCACCCAGATCCAGGATGCCTTCTACGTCGATGACTTGATTGTTGGAGCATCCACGGAACACGGCGCGTTGCGCCTCTACCACGAGAGTACAGCCATCCTCGCAGAGGCTAGCATGGAACTAAGGAAATGGGCTTCGAATTCAAGCGCGCTTGAACAGCAGTTTCTTGAAGATGGTACCGCTTACGACAATGAATCCGGCACGACGCGCACAATGAAGGTTCTTGGGATTATTTGGGACCGCACAACCGACGAAATCATTTTGAGCTCGCAAAACGTCACTACGTTTCTCACATCCCAACAACCAACAAAACGCTCAGTTTTGCAAGTTTGTTCCCGACTTTTTGATCCTCTAGGCTACCTGGCTCCTTTCACGATTCGGGCCAAAACCCTTTTCCAATCGCTTTGGATAAACAAACACCCCTGGGACAAGGTTCTCCCGCAAGAAACGCAGAGTGAATGGAACGCATGGTGCACTGAATTATCTATTTTTGAATCATTTCGCATACCCCGGTATGTAATTTCCTTGTCGCCTAGCACTATTGAGCTTCACGTCTTTGTCGACGCAAGCCCACAAGCTTATGGCACTGCCATCTACGTCCGTTCCATCAACACAGATGGCGCGATTTCAACGCGTTTGTTGATAAGCAAGAGTCGAGTGGCCCCCATCAAAACAATTACATTGCCACGGCTCGAGTTGCTCGCTTGCCTTCTGGGAGCACGCCTCATCGCCAATGTATTGAAAACTCCGAGCTTCGACAATCCCCAAACAAGTCTCTGGACAGACTCCAAGATTGCGCTTTACTGGATCAAGGGGGATTCGTCAAGGCGGCAGCCATTTGTGAGAAACCGAGTCGACGAGATTAACCGTCTGTCAGACCCTACTCAATGGGCACATTGCTCAAGCAGTCATAACCCAGCCGATCTCGTAACACGTGGCATCTCGGCTTCTGCGCTCAAAAATGAAGCACAATGGTGGACCGGACCCTCTTGGCTATCACAACCAAAACACACCTGGCCCCGAGAAGAACGTCATAGTCCTCCTGATCTGCCCTTAAATGAAGAAGCACAGATGTCCACAGTAAACCCTGTTACAACAGCAATTCTACCCAAGGTTCTTCAGCTTCACCATTATGGATCCCTAACTCGGGTTTTAAGGATTACAGCTTGGATTCAGCGATTTGTTACGAATTCATCCAAGTCGAGGCCATCAATAACCGGACCATTGACGTCTGCCGAGATCAGAAGGGCCGAGACCTATTGGATCTCCATCGCACAAAGGGAATCCTTTCCTGAGGCCTTTGATGACCCCCATCAGAAAGATTCAACATATACTACATCAAACATCGGCAATCTCCATCCGTTTCTCGGTGAGGACAAGCTGTTGCATGTGGGAGGACGACTGCAAGAGCTAGAGGACTTGCCCGATGTGAAGCATCCGATTCTCTTGCCCTGCAAGCACGAGTTTACTGACCTGCTAGTGTCGAACACACACCAACGACTGATGCATGGAGGTGTCCAAGTAACACTCACGGAGCTTCGAGAACGCTTCTGGATAATCAAGGGTCGCCAAACGGTCAAACGCATAACGAACAAGTGCCTGCCATGCCGGCGAAGACGCCTTACACCCGAAACCGCCCCATACGCCCCACTTCCTCACGACCGAATCCACGAAGCAACCCCATTTGCGATAGTGGGCGTCGATTTTGCTGGGCCCCTATACGTACGTACCGCTCCAGCGTCTAACTCCAAGGCGTACATTGCCCTTTTCTCATGCGCTGTTACTCGCGCCATCCACATAGAGCTTGTGTCTGACATGACCGCAACTCAATTTCTACAAGCATTTAGGCGTTTCGTAGCCCGACGCGGACTTCCGTCAACCATCTACTCCGATAACGCACAGACGTTCAAATGCTCCGCACGAATGCTTGCCACATTGTCCACATCCGAAGTTCAAGACTACTGCAGCGGGCTTCGGATACAGTGGAAGTTCATCGTGGAAAGAGCACCCTGGTGGGGGGGATGGTGGGAACGAGTGATCCGGACAACGAAGGATGTTTTAAAACGAGCACTAGGTCGCAGCAGCCTGACATTCGAGGCGCTACAAACCTTGCTATGTGAAGTGGAAGCAGCGGTAAACAGCCGACCTCTGACCACGTTGAGTTCCGATCCCTCAGAGCGACAGCCGCTTTGTCCCTCATATTTCCTCATAGGCAGGCGCCTCACAGCCATTCCTCATCAACTAGGGGAGTTCAACCAGCTGTCCACAGAGTCAAGCCTTCAAAAACAAGCCAAACTACGCCAAACAATCCTAGGCCATTTTTGGCGTAGATGGAAGCACGAGTACCTACTGCAGTTGCGGTCGGCTCATGAAAGCCCTCAGACTCCGACCCCAACAATCAAGGTTGGCGACGTCGTGATCGTCAATGACGATGACACTCCTCCCCTACTGTGGAAACTCGGTCGGATTGCAGCGCTCTTCCCCGGCAGAGATCAAGTTCCACGAGCGTGCAGAATTATTCTTCCAGATGGGCGATAGATCAACAGGCCTGTCCAGCGGCTCTACCTTCTTGAGGCAGCAGAGACACCAGCTCCGGCCCGGCAGGATGTTGAGAAATAAGAGACGAGGAAGAGCGCGCGGACGATTGGGGGGGCACGCGGGGTTTGCGCACCCGCAAAGTCAGTGTTCCATAAACGGCCATCCGAACAGGACACGTCTCGGGTCCCTTCCTCCACAACTGCCATCTAAAATATTCCCGGGGAGCATTGCTATGTTTGTTCCTGTTCAGTTGAAATTATCATTTTAGTATTTTAGTAGTATTGCGTACCGGCATTTTGAGGAGGCTCGGACGCCTGCAACAGCTTCAGGCTGCAAAAACTTGCGAAGTATTAGGTTAATAATAATTATAATAACAATAAAAAATAAACACACTGGAAGCAAGTCAGGGCTCCAGTTAAAACGAATAAAAACAAATAAATAAAGATTATCATGAAAGGAAACTCCAGAGAATACTTCAAAATGACTGTGAACGCTTGATTATGGGGTTTAGTTATTGCGGAACCGTTACAAAGGCCAATATAATTTAGCTTGAACCGACTTGTTGGTGGACATCACACATAACGTTTTTTTTTTTTTTTGGGGGGGGGCATTATTGACATGTTTCACCCGATTAAACGACAAACAATACAAACCATAACGCGAGTCGATGTAGAAATTGGGAAATTAAGTGTGAAATGCTTGTCCCAATGAGTCCACTGTAATGCTTGTCCCAGTAAGTCCAATAAGTTCATCAACTGGAGGGGTATATGACTCTTTGTAGCGAAGTCATTCTAGCTTGCCTGACCCAGGCTTTCTTCGTTGTTTTGCTATGGTTGTGGGAATAGTCGTACCATGCATCCATTGGGCCGCGCCGCCGCTCCGCCAAGAAGCTAACACGACCTACAAAAGACAGTCTGCAGTGAGACACTAACACCCCAAAGAATTTTTTTTTTTTTTTTTACAGCGGAGCTGTTAAGGGCTAGTTTCCCCAAGATCGTGTCCCCCACAAAGAAATGAAGACACCGAACTCTGGACACCTACCGCCATCTATGAGCGACGGCGGCCAGCCACGTATCTGGTTGCCGCCGTCGCTCATAGATGGCGGCAGCCTTTCCAATCTAGCTTGCCGACTTGCGGCCGGCCATTGCTTTCCATTGTACAGCTCCGCTGGTCTTCCTTCTTCACCAGTGTGGAAAGGCTGAAAGTTTTGTATAATTCTTTATAAGGCGATTTAATATAGTGTCAGAGGACTACCCAATCAATATTTTGTTGCAGAGTCACGTATATTTTATTAAAGTTAAAAAAACAAAACAAAAAAACGCAACTGCTCGAACCCGAAACCGAAACACGAGCACGGAAGCTCATGGCCGGAAGTCACGTGGCTGCACCCGACCGCATTTTCTTTTCTCCGATTCTCCGGCATGTGAAGCAGGCGGTGAAGTTGCGTGCACCGTTTGTCGTGTGCACTTATACCCCTCCCGCTCGATGTTTTGCGCTTGAAGATCGATTGGTCGGTACCACCACCGACAGTTCCGAAGTATAGACCTTTGTCCGGAAGTGCTCTTTTTAGCCTCGACCGCAAGGAGCAAAAGCGAACAATAATCTCGAACCCAGACGCTCACGGGGAGGGGGGGCTGCGTCGGCCTGCGCCGCCGCTTCCCGTTGAAGGCTTCTTCGCTGGTGTGCCGACTGCAGTTTCGCCGGCATCGGTCCTGTTTACCGCGGTATGTGAGTATAGTGCCCGTAATGTGAGAGCCGTGTGTCCATACGCCACTTTGCCGCTGTTGGTTTCCATCTAGCCGAGCCAGAAAACATCTCGCGACGAGTTGATCGCGCCGCGAGTGACGAAGAAGCAAACATGGCGACGGTTTGTGCGATTGCTTTGGTGGCTCCGGTGTTGAGTGTCTTCAACGTCCTCGTGAGAAGATTCCCCTGCCCTTCGAAGTTATCGCAGGCACCACGAGTGGCACGAAAGATGTGGAATCATCGTCTCAACTACAAATAAGCAGGCCTGCACGAGCAACGACGCCGAGCAGGCGCTGGGTCGTGCCTGTGTCGCGTTGTGTCGTCAGATGTTCTACAACGCCGATATATTTTCATTTATCATTTGGAATGGCTTCAAGAGTGGGAAATTAATCTATTTCGCAGATTGTTAACGCCGAGGTGAGTGCCCTCCGTTGCAGTGCCGTTGTCACGCGAAGTGCAGAGAAAACCGGGTGACGATGGCGGCGGTGCTCTTTGATCGCTTTGATCTTGCGCCGTCGGGTTCATGGAGTCCGGAGTAAACGTACGTACGTGCGTCTGCTGGATCGGTGTTTTGGACTGCCACAAAACTCTTTCTCGCGGGCATTTACCTTGTGAAGCTTAGTAGCTCATTACATTTCGTCGTCGACTGCGCTCATTTGACTACGACGGACGAGCCTGCGTGATGTGAATTTCACTTGCCTAAGATCCTTGGTGTGCTATAACGAGGGCTAATAAAATATCACCGCGAACTTCTGAACAAACGAGTCGAGGTTTCGTCTGTTATCATAACTGATCGCCTGTCACAATATTAATCAGTAGCGTTCCTAGACTCCGCCCCCACAGGCACCCTGCTTCGTTGCCCGATAGTAAGTGTCTCCTGGTACCTCGTAGAATTCCAGCTCCCACTTCAAGTAAGTACCATCCTTTAGAACTGGCAATTAATAGTTTCGAACCCAGACGCTTGCAGCGTGTGTGTGTGTGTGTGTGTGTGGAAAGGGGGGGGGGGCGTGCTAACACACTCGGAGCCCTCGTTTTCGCCGCTTCGTGGCGGCAAACAAGGCGGCACATTACAAAAGAAACCTAATCCGAGCTGTCTATGGAACTAGACCCATTCGCTAGTCATTTGATGAAACGTCGTGGTCTCGTTTCCATTCGCTAAAACGGCGTTCGATCAAGTAAACGCCTCCCACTTATTTCGGCTCGGCAGAGCCGCAGAAAGGCAAGCAGATCGCGAAAATCGGTCTCAACCGTGCCACGAATGTAATGTCGTATACAAGAAGCCGTCAATCAAGCATTTGAAAGCTACAAGAAAGCGGCAGCGAAATATTTACTACGCAATGAACCCGGACTGAACGCGGATGTCAAGGGTCAGCAGACACCGAGAACATTTAAGACAAGAAAGGTTTTCTCTTGTTTTCTCGACCGAGATGGGTTCTCGAATGTTCACGACATCTTATCTGTTGAAGAACGGGCCGCGGAGGCTTCTGGTGAAGACATCTTTCACGATGTGCCGGTGCATTCGGACAGCCTGCCGCATCCAGCTCCCCAAAGCAACGCCGCCAACGCAGCCCCCCCCCCCCCCCCCCCCCCCCCCCTCCTGCTTGCCAGTTCTCTCCGCGTGGTGGCGCGAGCGTAGATAAACATGGCGGCGCCCTGGAATTGGCGCGGACACTGGTCTATAGCGGCCCCAGTCCGTCGCCACGTTGGTCCGTCGTGCGACGCCATCGCGTCGTCCAGCCCCCGTACGTCGCCACACTGAGAAAGACGTGCACACGCACTTCCTGTGATCTATGTAACATTTTTTTTTTCAATCAACATATTTGAAGTTTCTTGGAAACCACAAAAATGTGGTTTTAATATTTACAGTTTTTAATATCGAATGTGTGCCGTCGATGACACACGGCTTTGAATATGTATATTTGGTACACACAGTTTGAACGCCACGTGACCATGAAAAAGAGTGATGAGTGCGTCTGAAACCGGCCAATACTCGACCGGCTGTTTTCGGGCGGAAAGAAAATGAATATCGAGCCGTAAATTATGTTCAGGGTAATTGGGCTCTTATAAGTCGTATCCCAATAAAAAAAAACTTTGGCGAGCATAAATACCCTATCAGTGTTCCTTGTCCACAGGTAATGCTGTCCTCACGTCTGCAGAGGACAGTGCGTCTTTTGCCCGATGTATGAGCAGTGTGTGGCTGAGGCTTTAAGCGCCGTTCACACATATGCAACCGAGTAAGACCGAGAGAGACCAGACCAGTTTTAAAGCCTCTTGCGACGTCTTAATGCGCTGCAGCAGAGCTGGTCCTAAGAAGTTGCAAGAGGCTTAAAAACCGGTTTGGTCTCTCTCGGTCTTACTCGGTCGCAAGAGTGTGAACGGGCCTTTAGAGTGAAGGCCCGTTCACATTCTTGCGACCGATTAAGACCGAGTTAGACCGGACCGGTTTTTCAGCCTCTTGCGATCTCTTAGGACCAGCTCCGCTGCATCGCATTCGGTCCTAAGAAGGCGCAAAAGGCTTAAAGGGATGCTGAACCGAAATCAGGATTCCCCAAAACATCGGCAAAAGCGTGCAATGGGATGCTACAAACACCACAACATCACTCATACAGCGACATCTCAATCAAATGACCGTATTTCTCAAAAAAAAAAAAGAAAAAAAAAAAGAGGCGCATTTGGCAGGAATGTTGACGTCTTGTTTCTCCGAGAAGGAGAGGGAACGGCCTCGCGTCTTCTCCGCCTCGCGGCCTTGGGGGAGCGAAGCGAAGAGAGGAGGAAACTACGTATTTTGACGGTCACGCGCCTCGTCGGCCTGGTTCGATCTCGACTTCTTTTTCCAAAAATACGGCCGTCCATTTGAGATATCGCCTTACTAGTAGCGTTGTAGGTATTGTAGCGTCCCGCCTACATCTCCAGCATTGTTTTTTTTTTTAAATCCAAATTTCGGTTCACCATCCCTTTAAAACCCGGTCTGGTCTCTCTCGGTCTTACTCGGTCGCAAGAGTGTGAATGGCGCTTCACAGAACAGACTCA